TTCTTTTCTTTGAAAAAATAACATTGCAGACCTATGAAACTGTTATTCCAGATTCAACATGAAAAGATTAGCTTTACGAGAATAAAACACCTAAAAGACTGCAAATAACCTTTAATTTTATCTTTTTACTTCAGAAATAAGAGTATTTTATAAACTTTTTTATATCATTTCACAACAAGAAAACATATGCACCAAATAATCCAGCCATTACTAATCTTTGTATTACAATTTCACTAAATAATCCACTTTCCAGTGATTACTAATTTTTTTATTACATTTCTACAGTATGATATTAGTACATACGCACCAACCAACTCATTAGATTGCCAGTTTTATTAGAAAGGTGACACCTCTTTTCTACTGAAGTACTTTCCTGATGGACCTCCCTCAGGTAAAAGAGCAAGCCAAACAGGACTTTCAGCACCCTCTTCAACACTCAATTTGCCACAATTGATAGTCATATCAGTTTTGACATAACCTGGACAAACACAGTTGATGAGAAAACTTGGGTATTTCTTGGCCAATATTCTTGTGTAAGCATTCACTGCTGCTTTTGATAGTGTATATGCAGGTAAAATCAGAGGCCAGTTTTTACTTTCCAACAAACCCTCCTTTAAATCTTGCAGAAAAGCATTCAGAACCTCATCTACTCTGTCTTCTGTTAGATTCTCAGCATCACTTAACACTCCTACAGCCCATTCATTGCCTACATGCTGAAACAACATTAATTGTGCCAAAATGAAAACAATATAATCAGAAGATCGCTTTGTCTATTCTTTAAAATTGTAAGAGTGCACAAGAGTGTATGCAGGATTTTAGTTAAGTTTTGTGCCTTAGCATAACTGGTAAAGTTGTTGCCATGTGACCAGTAGGTCACGGGTTCAAGCCGTGGAAATAGCCCCTTGCAGAAATGCAGGGTAAGGTTGCGTACAATAGACGGCCCTTGTGGTCCGGCCCTTCCCCGAGCATAGTGGGAGCTTAGTACACCGGACTGCCCTTTTTATGTCGATATTTAAAGAAATGAGCAAAAGAACAAACTATCGTAAAGATGTCATATTATAAACACAATTTAAGTACGTTATTGTAGCTCTCATGGATGAACAAAATTTCTGGCCCCCCTAAGAAAAGTTGGTATGTAATTAGATGAAATACCTCCAACTTTCCAGCAAAGGAGGAGACATTGACAATACGAGGTGAATCAGAAAATTGAAGTAGAGGTAATAATTCTTGAATCATCTGTTTTGCCCCATAATAGTTTGTTTGTAGACATTCTTCAGCTACATCATAAGTTTGAGTTGCTACCTTTAGCTTCTCAACGAATAGGTCTTGCTGCATCACCAACACAAGACTAATTATTTCAAATGGATAAAAGAACGCGCTGAAGAAATACACAGGGCCATAAAATTGCAGTAGAAGAAACTTTTTATTTTGTTTGGTGGAGTGGGCGAAAGAGAAATTAATTAGTTCATGACCTTTTAGCTATGTTGCTCGGACTCTTTAAAAATATTGCCGGATGTGTGTCGGATCCTTCAAAAGTAGTGTATTTAAAGGATCCGGCACGGGTACGGCGGCATCTGAGAGTCCACACAACATAGCTTTTTAGTGTGTATGGTATCAGTAGTATGTGAACTCTATGGAATATGTATAAGCAAAAGAAGAATTGATGTGATATAATCACTTACTTCTGGACTTGTAATTGTAACATCTTTATCCATAAGTGCTCCAAGAACTGCTGCATTATTCACCTGTTTTGGTTGTTTACAAATGATTGTAGTATTATGTTACATAAAGGTTAAGCATAATCATGAACTGATAATTAAGCAAACATAAAAAATTAGAGATTAAGAATGCAAATCTCAATTTGAAGCACAATATATGTATATAGAGAGAGAGAGATTGCATGTACTAACAGCTCACCTTAAACAGATGGTATAAAGTACTGGTACATTCATTTGTTCTTTTTCTTATAAAAAGTGAAACCAATTTTCTAAAATCAAAGAGGAACTTGGAAGTGGAAATTACCAAGATATCAAGCTTGCCAAATCTGGCCTTGATGAAATCTTTGAGTTGTGCAATAGTAGAAGGGTCAGTCACATCAAGCTTATGAAAAATAACATAATTAGAGAGGCCACACTCCTTTAATATATCAATAGCTTCTGCTCCTTTCTTCTCATCTCTAGCTGTTAAGATCACCACTATCCCTTTTGAGGCTAGCTGTCTACATATTTCTAGTCCTATTCCTTTGTTGGCTCCAGTCACAACTGCAATCCTGATAACAAATTTGAAACCATACGAAATTTAATTAATGCCCATCTTGCTCACACAAAGAGTGGGAAGCCAGAAATATTTTCAAAGGCGTTCAAACTTGAAAGAAGTAAAAAAAAAATCGCCAACAAAGGGTGTTCTGTTATGTACCTTCAAAACCTAATATTTTATCTATATATGACCACCCTTACCAGAGCGTAGCTTCGCCCAATGCACAAAGGTATATATAGAGGCCGAGCTAGACAATAGTGAGTTATGTTGCCATTGCGCATGCCAATAACAACAACAAGTGGGAGTAATATATATGTACGTCTTACCCCTAACTTAAAAATAGAGAAATTCTGCCACTGCTGATAGAGAAGGAAAAAATCAAACAAAAAAAGGAGTGAATGTTATTGAATGGAGTACCTTTGAGTTGCCAGAAAGTTGGAAGCCTCTGCCATTGGTATAAAGTGTTGCCTGTTCGAATGTGTGTAAAAAAGGAAGAAAGACTTTCAGGCCCACGGTTTAATTTTTGTGTTCCTTAATACTAAGTACACAGCTAATGGGGATAAATACTGTATCTTGTTTCAATTTAGACAACACATCTTTTTTATTAGTCCGTGCCAAAAAGAATTATACATTTCTATTATTGAAAATAATTTAACTTTAAACTCTTTATCTTGCCTATTTTATCCTTAATGATAAGTTTTTATAACCACACAAATGTCATGGCCGACGAGTGTGTGGTAGGAAACGTAGAAGTGCACAGCTAATGGGGATAAATACTACTATTGTGTTTCAACTTACGCAACACATTTTTCTTATTGGTTTGTGCCTATATATTTCTACAATTCAAAATAATTCAATTTTAAATTTTTTATTTTGCCTATTTTACACTTAATGAGAAGTTTTTATACACACAAATGTCATGACCCCACAAAACTTTTACCCCTTAAGCTTTCAAAATCACAAATTTTAAAAAATTTCTTTTGTTTTTCTTAAACTAAACTATGTGTCGAGTCAAACTATTTTTTCTAAATTGAAACGGAGGGAGTATGATTAAGAAGACAACCGGCAGCCATGCATTCTCGGACCACACAAAATCTTAGAACTAGTGGTCATTGTTCCCACTTAACCATTGTCTAATTGTATGTCCTGTGCCTTTTTGTTTTGTATTCTTTTACATCTTTGGTTCTCGACTTCTTGTAAATTTTTATTTACTTCATTTTTGTACTCGTCACTCGGACTCAATATACCGGGGCTATAAAATCACGTTATTACAAATAATAGAAAATATAAAGTTAAAGTATTTTTAAATATAAAAATATATTATTTATTTAAATAAAAAATAATGACAAACATACTGGAATAAAGAGAATATTAAGTTTAACAACAACAACAACAATAACAGCAACCTAGTGTAATCCCACAAGTGATGTCTAAGGAGGGTAGGATATACGCAGCTTTAGAGATTGTTTCTGATAGGCCATCGACTAAAAAAAATTAAATTTATCTCAAAATTTTAGAAAACAAAAAAGTGTCTCTTATTTTAATTTCTTTTCCAATTTTCACATTTACTGATGCAATTAGTAAAATGTTAATCAGCTAAAGCGTTTATAAGAGAGACAAACAATATCTTACATAAATAATTCATAAATTAACATTATTAAATATCTTTCTTAAAGAATACAAAACCTTTAAAAGAGTGATAATATAGACGAAAGTATTACTCCCTCTGGTACTTTAATTAATTTTTTGTCTGTTTTTACACATTAAAGAATTTACTTTTTAGCACTAATTCACAATAAAATTGACTATATTAACCTTAATTTGTTCATTGAAAATATAACAAATACTCCTAGACTCTTTACTCCAAGGGCAACTTGAAAAAAAAATTAATTTCTTTTTGATATCTAAAAATATTAAATATTATAGACCACAAGAAAAAAAGTCAAAAATCAATTAAAGTGAATGATACTGTTATTTTAAGGGCACACAAAAAACCATTTAATGTGACTACTGTTTAAAGCAGCAGATACTCAGGCTGGTTGGTTAGCTCATGAGAAAAATGCTTGACAACTCAACCCTAACCAACAAAAGTACTCCATTCATCTCAATTTATAGGCAAAATACATAAAGACCCCGTTAAACTTGTTCAGAAAATAGATTTGAACACTTAAACTAAACGGGTAATTTTTAACCCACTTAAACACATTGTGAGTAAATTTTGTTCCACCCTCCATGACACCAAACCCGGCACGTGAAATCATATAATTTATGAGCGCGTTTTACACTAAATTTAATGGATAAAATGAATTAAAAAAAAAGGAAAATTATTTTAAAATTACATTTACTTTATAAATAGACCCCAATGGTAAAATTGAATTACCCGATCCAATTATTTTCTCTTTTTCAAGAACCCGAAATCTCCCTCTCTTTCAATTAGTCACAATTTCTGGCCATCATATGAAATTTCAAACAAAATCAAATCCTTTATGTGAATCAAAGCTTTTTTCTTCTCTATAATCTTTTGGTTCATCTAATTTTAGGGCTTATTTTGAGTGGTTCGAATTTCTTCTTATTTGAGTGGTTTTCTCTGTTTTTTTATTCTGCACATAATGAGGTCAACTAATTTGGCTAGGCTTTGCGTGGAAGATAATGAACCTGGGTTGAATGAAGAAGTGTGCTGCAACCATGTCAAACTCGACAAGAAATTGACGACAAAAAAAATTACCTACAAGAGAAGCCAACAATATTCAATATCTACACTTTAATCGGCGAGATTTGGGGCAAAATCAACACTGGGTTTATGACAAATATACTGGAATAAAGAGAGTATTAAGTTTAACAACAACAATAACAACAGCCCAGTGTAATGCCACAGTAATTTTTTTAATTACAATTTCTATCATTAGTGCATACGCACCAACCAACTCATTAGATTGCCAATTTTATTAGAAAGGTGACACCTCTTTCCTATTGAAGTACTTTCCTGATGGGCCTCCCTCAGGTAAAAGAGCAAGCCAAACAGGACTTTCAGCACCCTCTTCAACACTCAATTTGCCACAATTGATAGTCATATCAGTTTTGACATAGCCTGGACAAACACAGTTGATGAGAAAACTTGAGTATTTCTTGGCCAATATTCTTGTGTAAGCATTCACTGCTGCGTTTGATAGTGTATATGCAGGTAATATTAGAGGCCAGTTTTTAGTTTCCAACAAACCCTCCTTTAAATCTTGCAAAAAAGCATTCAAAACTTCATCCACTCTGTCTTCTGTTAGATTCTCAGCATCACTTAACACTCCTACAGCCCATTCATTGTGTACATGCTGAAACAACATTAATTGTGCCAAAATGAAAACAATATAATCACATTTGTTCAAAAGTGCAGTCAAAAATGAACTTGTTTCAGCCACATTTGTCCTAGTAATTGTACACCTTACACAATTAAGTTCGCGAAAATTTGACCTAAACAGGCATAAATGCGTGCAATTTGGAGTGCCAGACCTTACTCCATAGTCTCGTGGAAATACGATTTCAACCCAGGAGTTGCTTCATTAATCGTGAACAAGAGGACCATAGACAAGGTACCACATATTAATTCTCACGTATTCAATGGACTCCTCCTGCATCGAAAAATTGAAGGTCTTGAGAAAAGGTGGCAAAAATATTGTCTATACCATTATAATTGTTGTTCCATTTCGGTTAGGAGATCCGAGTAACATTTTTATACCTTTGACATATGCTGCAACTCTCTTGCCCCAACATCACCGTGACCTTCTGCCAGGTCTTCAGCTACAGCAGCCCGTAAAACAGCAGCTCCAACCTCTGCTGTAATATCCCGAATACTGCACACAAAAGAAACATTAGATACAAGTACCCTTGGAAAGCAATTTCACATTTGCTACCTCCAAGTGAATGCTTTCTCTAACTGCAAAATGATTCCAACATAAATACAGGTTTCCTGAGACGTCATCCACAATCTCATGACTAGTAATCCCCTCACAACGGTTATCGCTATTTTAGTCTCCTCAAAATCATAACACGTGAAAAAAGAAGAAGAAAGTGTTTCACCAACCTTAGAACCATATTCAATAAGATTAACTAGCTCGCATTCATCGCCTCAAAGTTTAGATCTCTATAGCGTGTTCGCAAAAATAAAAACAGAAGTAAATATATAAAAGAGCAAGTAAGTAGGGGGAGCTGATTGATCGAGTGTTGCTCATGTGGACTAACAAGACTCGGGTGCAATAGCACTCACCCAGAGTGGTTATAGGCACTTCACTGCTATCACTTCCGCATGATAGTTGCAAAAGTAAGTGTGTGCATTCCTTGTGTCAGTATGTAACAGGAAAATCAAAATCAGGAGAGATAAACCTAGACATTTGTGCTAAGCTACAACTTGAACTTGAAGCATCATTGTCATCAGCATTTTGTGCATTGTCAATTTTGATACCCTTATATATTCTTACTACAGTTTAATGACATAGTAACAAGGAGACAGGAATACGCATGTCATCCAGAAATCCTAAATATTAGGCCAAGACCAGTCCCTAACTCATTCAACTAACACGATAAAAATATGATATCAATTTAGAAGTTGCACGAATCAATCAGTCATATATAGATAGTCATTGCAGGGGCAGGGTGGAGCTGATTTAGTGTTTAAGATTTCACATCTCGAAAATAAAAGCTCCGTGAGCAAAGAACGCTTTTCCCAGGACCAAGAGCTTACTCGTTAATGGATGGATACAAGATTCCTCTTTTGATTTCGCCACCTGACGTGTAAGAAGCGAGGCTGCACGTGTGAAATAAATATACAAATCAGTAAATGCAGAGATAAGAGAAGGTTTCACTGCACCACATTTTTTACCTAAATACAAATTAAAAGCTCACACCACTGATGGTCAAATCAAGTACAATGAGACAGAATTGTCATATCATACCACTCAGCAGCTGCTTCTAACATTGTATCACTTATGTTTCGAGCACCAGAAAGAAGAGCTCCCAGACCAAAGGGACTACCTAGATCAACATTTGCAAAGGGACTCCCACTAGCAAAACAATATTTTCCCCAGCAAGCTTGAAAGCATCAGCAGGACAGCATTCAGCTGTTCAACAGAATATACAAAATAAAAATGTAAGATCAAGACAAACAACTGGTAGAGGAAGCAAAAGATGGATGAAAAGACAAACCATTGTTTGGGGGATTTGACATGGCAAAAATTGCAGGTCTAACAGAATCTGACTCTCGCTTGGCCCTCAGCACCTGAAAGTTACGTCAACATTAGACAAACACAAGCTGATATCAAAGGAACAGAATTACAGCAATACAATTCCAAGTGATTAAACTGATCAAGAAAAAACGTTCAAATGATTTAATCTAAAGAATGAATACACCTCAATGAGAAAATTCCAGAAAATAAAATATCACCTAAACTTTCACATATATTTCTTTCTTATACTTTATTGAAGAAAATCCTGAAGTACATGGTTGTAGATAAGGATAAAAAGGGAACAAATATAAATGTCCGAAAGGAATCTGCTATATTAATGGAATGGAATAGGAAGAATATCGGTAGAGGAGATCAGATATAATTGTCAATGACATAACTTCACAAGTTTGTAATGAATCAAACAAGTGGAACACAAAATAAGATTAAATTATGTTATAATCCCATGATATCGTTTAAGGCCCAGCAAAGGAGTTTTGTGGATATATGATGAAAAAATTCATATAAAATATTATTCTACACTTGTTAAAGACCGAGTAAAATGCTTAGATGTGCCAAATAAGTAACTTAGACGCAGAGCAGCTAAGAAAATAAAGATCCAATAATTTCCATAATGTATCATGAGAAGCTAAGAAGTCAAAGAATTAAATATGGCTGCTCCAGTGACACAGTTCTGCGTTCCAAGCATGGCAAATAAATGATAAAGAAGGAAAAAAGAAAACAAAGTGCATGACCCACCTCCTCATGAAATATACCTCCAACTCCTGACAAACCAAGAAGCACATGAGGCTTCACCTTTTTGACCTGAAGAGCATTTAGTCCTGGCATTAGCGTCCCAGAAAGCATAAAAGCACTCAGATGAAGAGAGCAATTATTAGTCCCTATGGCCTAATTATCAACATGGTCAACAAATTTTAACAAAGCATGGACATCCTTCTACTAAGAGCAACTTAGTTTTGTACGTAGATACAGCAAAATGCCCAGAGATTCTAGCAACATTACCACTTCAAGGAGACCTGCTCCCTCCTGTAGTCCTAACCCCTCAATCTCATGTTGGGCTTTAGCAAATGGTAATGCTGCTGGATCAATATCTTTCCTATGTTTCGTGATAAGACCCTGCATCAACATTGACTAATGATCATTACTCATAACATAGAGAGTAAGCAAATCCTTAACAACTGACGCCATGGAGAGAAACATATGGTACTTGTCAGGCGCGGAGCCCAAAATCCCGTTGGCAACTGAACCTTGTTTTCATCCATAATACTTTTTAATTTTTTTAATAAAGAATGCCTGTTCTCCCCTCCAATTTATAATACTTATGTACGGGTTTGATATTTTTGATATAAGACACATGCAAAAACAGGGAGCATATTTACTTGTTCTGGATCAACATGGACTATAAGCAATCCCTATCATCTATACAAAAAACCTCACATTTTTATCCAGAAGAAACAAGTGGGGATATGCTGATGGTCCACCCATTCTTGAAACAGCTTGTAACTAAATTTTAGTCTTTAGGGATAGGCTAGTTAGTCAGATTGGTATCCTTGCCAAATCCGTACCAGATGTATATGTTCCATACTTTGGATTTACAAAGCGGCATATGCAAAAAATATAAACTAGTGCAACAGTTAAACTGGCGCCGTAGTTCATGAATGTGAAACTGAAGAACAAATAATAACTTTATACATACTCTTTGTGTAGCAGCTGCTACGTACATGTCAAGTTTGCCAATTGGTATACCTATCCCCTGAACTCCAAGATCGCCAAGGCCAAGAATACGGCTTCCATCTGTCAGCACAATCATGTCTACCTGCAAACAGAAGAGAATGCATTGGGTGATTCTATTTGATCAATGCCATAAGTTATTGTTCTTAAAAGGCAATTCGTATTAAACACGTCAAAGTCTGTAAGATTTTCTCAGCTACACTTCATTTAAGTTTTGCATTACTCTGAAAATCATCTAAGTACTATTTAACTTTCTATAGCCAAGTCTTACAGACAAATATCTGAAATGAAAAAGGAAAGGAACAATATAACACAGCTCTGAAATTGTCTCTGTACTAAAAAATGTAAACCAATCACCACTAATTGAAATGACAGAAGAGGAAGTTGAAAGAGCAGAAAGTTGTGAAATCACATAATACCTGAGTAGAAGGCCAGTTCAAGATTAATGACATCATCTCTCCCTTATCTTTGGCACTGAAATACATGCCACGTGGACGTCTAAACAAGGCAGAGTAGTTTTGGCAAACCAAGAAGGTAGATTATAACAAAATGTTTATGATTATAAAAGAAGCATCTTTTGCAGCTTGTGAACAAGAAGGTAGGTTCCCACAAATACAGTAAACGTGACACTCAGCTTCCAAGCAACAGAATGATCACCGGTAGAACTACCCTGCGTAGCAAGAGGTTATGACCTTAGGCGATATGCTCTGCAAGATTAAGAATTTTAACATGCTTCTTTTTCCTCAACCCATGGGGCACTGGACCCAAAACTCTGGTTCCAATTGGTTCACCGTGCTTGTTGATAAGCACTACAGTATTGTCGTCAAACTTTACTTCGCTCCCATCACAGCGGCCCCTTGGCATAGCAGCACGAACGACAACACCATAATGAACATCTCCTTTCTTCACTTTCCCACCTGGCTGAGCTTCCTTCACTGAGCAAACTATTGTATCTCCTAATCTTGCTCCTTTCTTGCCCTTCAGTGCTTGGATGCACATCACTCTCTTTGCACCTGAATTGTCTACCAGTTTCAGATTCGTCCTCATCTGTATGAAGGTCCTTTGTTGCTGAAAGGACCAAAAACAAGTAAAGAACTTATCATAATTGTAACATGAGACAATTCAAAGCGTAATCAATATGGCAGAGTTAACTCATAAGATTCAAGACCTTTTTCATATAAACTTTTAGCCATGTGATGTTATTAAGGTGTTTTCTCTTATGAAAATAGCATTTAATATTTTTGATTAGTAAGAAGGGTTTATCTTAATGTGAAGAATATATTCTGTGGCTTGCTTTACATGATTAAAACATCTAAAAAACGAAAATAACCTTGCTTTTATCGTTTTAATTTAGAAATAAGAGTAAATTATAAACTTTTATATCACATACAGAATATCTCATTAACCAAACATTCACAACAATAAAACATATGCACTAATTACAAATCTTTGTATTACAATTTCTACATATGATATAAGTGCATTAACTTTGTCACTCATAACATTCCCAATTTTTTTAGAAAGGTGACACCTCTTTCCTATTGAAGTATTTTCCTGATGGACCTTCCTCGGGTAAAAGAGCAATCCAAACAGGACTTTCAGCACCCTCTTCAACACTCAATTTGCCACAATTGATAGTCATATCAGTCTTGACATAGCCTGGACAAACACAGTTGATGTAAAAACTTGGGTATTTTTTGGCCAATATTCTTGTGTAAGAATTCATTGCTGCTTTTGATAGTGTATATGCAGGAAAAATCAGAGGCCAGTTTTTAGTTTCCATCAAACCCTCCTTTAAATCTTGCAAAAAAGCATTCAAAACCTCATCCACTCTGTCTTCAGTTAGATTCTCAGCATCACATAACACTCCTACAGCCCATTCATTGCGTACATGCTGAAACAAACATTAATTGTGCCAAAATGAAAACAGTCAGCATATTTGTCTATTCTTTAAAATTGTAAGAGTACTATGACATATATGATATAGTAGAATATATGTATTAGAGTTTACGTCTGACAATGCAAGTAAACTGTTATTATTTTTTTTTTTCTTGAGACCAGGGCGGATTTAGGGGGGGGGGGGGGGGGGGTCGAAAGGGTTCACCCCCTTCGCCGAAAATTACATTGTATATATAAGGCAAAATCTGTTTTTCACCTTTATATATTATATTTTTAATCCCCTTGAGACAGACCAAAAGCATAGCTTAGTGGTCAACGGGGTTCAAAATCTTTGTGAGGTCATTTGTACAATTCCACTAGCTACAATTTCTTTGAATTTTTTTTAACTTTTTCCTTTTTTGAACTCCCTTAGTAAAAATCTTGCCTCCACCACTGCTTGAAACATCTGTCCCCCTAAGAAAAGTAGGTATGTAATTTGATGAAATACCTCTAACCTAAGAAAAGTTGGTATGTAATTAGATGAAATACCTCTAACTTTCCAGCAAAGGAGGAGACATTGACAATGCGAGGTGAATCAGAAATTTGAAGTAGAGGTAATAATTCTTGAATCATCCATTTTGCCCCATAGTAGTTTGTTTGTAGACATTCTTCAGCTACATCATAAGTTTGAGTTGCTACCTTTAGCTTCTCAACGAATAGGTCTTGCTGCATCACCAACACAAGATTCATTTCAAATGAATAAAAGAATGTGCTGAAGAAATTCACAGGACCATAAAATTGCAGTAGAAGAAACTTTTTATTTTGTTTGGTGGAGTGGGTGAAAGAGAAATTAATTAGTCGTTACTTTTTAGTTATGTTGCTCGGACTCTCCAAAAATGTTGCCGAGTGGGTATCAGATCCTCCAAAAGTAGTGTATTTTTAAAGGATCTGACACGAGTACGGCGGCATCTTAGAGAGTCCGCATAACAAGTCCAGAAGTTGGGTATGGTATCAGTGGTATGTGAACTCGAATAATATCTATAAGCAAAAGAAGAATTGATGCGATATAGTCACTTACTTTTGGACTTGTAATTGTAACATCTTTATCCATAGGCACTCCAACAACTGCTGCATTATTCACCTGGTATACGTTTGTTCAGAAATTATTGTAGTATTATGTTACACAAAGGTTAAGCATAATCATGAACTGTTAATTAAGCAAACATAAAAAAAAAAAATAGAGAATCTCAATTTGAAGCACTATATATTATATAACATGTTATTCACTTTATCTTCTATATTACAAAATTGAACATGGTATAGACAATTGCATGTACTTGCAGCTCACTTTAACCTGATGGTATAAACTATAAAATACTGGTACATTCATTTGTTCTTTTTCTTATAAAAAGTGAAACCAATTTTCTAAAATCGAAAAGGAATTTTGGAAGTGAAAATTACCAAGATATCAAGCTTGCCAAATCTGGCCTTGATGAAATCTTTGAGTTGTGCAATAGTAGAAGGGTCAGTCACATCAAGCTTATGAAAAATAACATAATCAGAGAGGCCACACTCCTTTAGTATATCAATAGCTTCTGCTCCTTTCTTCTCATCTCTTGCTGTTAAGATCACCACTATCCCCTTTGAAGCTAGCTGTCTACATATTTCTAGTCCTATTCCTTTGTTGGCTACAGTCACAACTGCAATCCTGAAAACAAATTTGCAACCATAATAAACAATGCTCCATCTTACTCACACAAAGATATATATAGAGGCCGAGCTAGACAATAGTGAGTTATGTTGAACCTGTTCAAATCTGTCATCGCCGATGTAGAAAATAGAGTCCACCCATAAGGGGTGCTCTTAGGGACCACTAGGTCAAAGCCCAGTAATTGTAACCCTAGCTATCCCGATATAACTACACATACGGTGTACTTGCTTAATCTTCTTCTAAAGTCAGACATACCGCGACAACCATCACGGATTAGTAATTCCAATCGCGATTAATCCGTTTTCGCTTCAGCCACGGAGAACATTTATGCGCATGTGTTAAGATTTATCGCGTTCCTTCAACCGATAACAATAACAAACCAGTATAATCCTACAAGTGAGATTTAGGAGTAATATATACCCAGGCTTTACCCCTAACTTAACCATAGAGAAATTCTGCCACTGCTGATAGAGAAGGAAAAAAAATTAAAAAAAAAAAAAAGAATGAATGTTATTGAATGGAGTACCTTTGAGTTGCCAGGAAGTTGGAAGCTTCTGCCATTGGTATGAAGTGTTGCGTGTTCGAATGTGTGTAAAAAAGAAGAAGGACTAACGTGTCGTTTGGTTTGAATACGGGTTATACTGGGATATAAGCTTGGATTAGTTATCCTCTTAGGGTCATTTGGTATGAGGTATAAGAAGGTATAAGGGTGGTATAAAAATTTAATATTACCTTAATACTATGTTTAATTATTAAATCAGGTATAAGTTATCCGGTATTAATTTTAATACTGGGATAACTTATACCTTATAAAAGGTAGGGTAATTAACACCGATATAACTTATACCTTCTTCTTAGAAATTATGCAATTGTCATACTTAATACAACATACCAAACAATGAATAAACAACAATCCCAGCATAACTAATCCCAGCATAACTTATCCCAATATAACTTATACCAGCACAACTTATACCGGTATAAATTATATTCCAACCAAACGACTCCTGATTGTTTCTTATTCACTACTATTTGGTATGTTGTATTAAAAATGATAATTGAATAATTTCTAAGAAAAAGGTATAAGTTATCCCGAAACTAAGTACCACACCCCCTACAAGCTATAAGTTATCCCAATACTAATTTTAATCTCGGAATAATTTATACCAGGTTTACTAACCAAATAAAATATTAAGGTGGTACTAAATTTTTATACCAGCACTATATCTACTTACACCTTGTACCAAACTACCCCTAAGACTATTTCAGGCCCACGGTTAAATTTTTGTGTTCCTTAATACAGTAGAAATGAAAGTGAGTTTGCAATAATGATCCAACGTTTTAGTATTAATAATTGGAATAGTTACCTCCTATAGCAAAGGTTGATACCTTATTTATTTTAAATAAATACCATTTTAAAAAAATTATATTCTATAACTACCTTTTGATTTTTATAGCCAAATACCTATTTATGGTCACCTCCTACCCTTAAGCCATAAAATACGCTGCCTCTCTCTCATAAAATACATTGCCTCTAGTTGACACCCAATTTTTCCCTATGATATTTTTTAATATGCAAAATAACTTCAAAATGGTGTGTGTATATATATATATATATATATATATATATATATATATATATATATGTAAGCATATTCAAGTGTTTTATTATTTTCCATAATTTTCAAAGATTTTTAAATTAATTTATTTCCCCTTTTTATCCATAAAAACCCAATAATCATTTCCAAAATTATTATTTTTGGCAAATAATCTATTGAATTTTCATCTTTATGCTAAAATATAGCTAAGGTAATTTTGGCATATTTTTACAAATTTATTTAGTATTTTTCAAAGCTAAAGTGCATAATTGCAATACTAGTCTCTTTTAAGATTTAATTGCGTTTATATTCATAAAATCAAGTCCTATATTTTTAAAGTGTTAATTATATATTATAAATCGTTTTAGTGCTTTCAATTTGTTTTCAGGAATTAATTTACTATTTTTTATAAATTAAAAGGGAAAAGTGGCTATTTAAATTGCAGCCCAAATTGGGTTTCAATTATAACCAAATCAGGCCCCCAATTTCCCCAGCCCAATTTCAGTATTAACCCGACCCCTACCCAATTTAATCGACCCAACCCGGATCCCTACCTACCCCATTCAATCTAGGCTGTTGATCAAAATGATCAACGGCCACCAGCTCCCCTTACCATTTTTAACCCAAACCAACCCCTTACCCTAAATCATTTTCCACCACCCGCCGCCCTTGAATTCCCCTTTCTCTTAATTCTCTCTGAAACCTCACCTGAACCCTAGCCTCCGCCCTTTAATCCTACCCTAATCCACCCTAATACCTACCTAATTCATGGCCCCTCGTGGTCATTTAGGACGTGTATCAGCCTCATATGGCTCCTGGATGTTTGGTTTTGTGGTTTCATGACCAGACCTCGAAGGAGCCTGGTCCAGTCCTGCTCGACTGTTGTTCATGGCCTTTCTCCGGCCATCCACGACCTTTCTCCGGCCATTCATGGCCTTTCAAGGCGGATCCTTGACTTTTCTGGTTAGATCGTTAACTTTCAAGATCTTTATCATTTCTTTTGGGTTTTCTGAAACCCTAATCTCTAAGACCTTTCGATTTCTTTCAGATCTATCTTAGATATGTGCTTACTATGAACTTTTTAAGTGTTTCTCGAAGGTTCTTTGACTTTTCTTTCAAAATGACTCTTCACTTTTCAACGATTAGGGTTTTCCTTTAAGTCTTTCAAAAGATCTCTTCTCTGATCTTAATGTTGTTGTGATTTTGCTATGTTTAAAACGATTTGCTCATGTTGTTCTTCTATCTATTTCAGCGTGTTTAAAAACCTTAGTTCCTTTTAGTCTTATCCGAGTTCTGAGACTGTTTGTTTAAATGTGCACTCGTTCTTTGTTTCAGACTCTATTTTCCTTGTTTGACCTGTTTGATTTTGAGTTCTTACCATCTCTTAAACTCGACTATTGTTGAAGCCCTAAATTTCTTAGAAGTTTTCTCACTTGTTACCACTGTGAGACCTTTACCCGTTTCTGACTTCTCTTATCTGGCACTATGTTCTTCTTCACTGTTGATTCTATGTGACTTGACCTGCTTGACTACTGTGCCTCGAATATTTTCTTACTACTGAATCCTAGCTTATTTCTGCCACTACTGTATGTTTGTGATATCTCTTTTGCCAATGTGTTCGGCCTCGCATGGCTGATGCTTCTGTTCACTCTATTTATATACTGAAGTGCAGAATCATATTTCTTCCTTGATTGATCTTGTGACTGATTGCAAAAGCTTTTCTTTTATTAACCCTAATTTCACTCGCTTGTTTAAATTAATTGATTCCTTCCCCTTTACTGTGATTTCTTACCTTGCTGAATCCTTTTCAAAATAAGCCTATTTTGTACTTGGACTTGATTGTTTACTGCATGCTTTTACTGCCCCTTATATGGCAATAATCAATCTGTTCGAACTTGATTTTTCTTTCCTTAAATGAAACCTGTTAGTACCCGTTAAATAGTGATTCCTTAATTAAAGAGAATCACTTCTGTTAATTGATTCTGACTTGTGATTGTTTCCCTGTTTGTGTTAAGACTTTACTTATTACCTTACTTATCACTTGTTTTCAAAACTATAAATACCCACCCCCTCTTTTCTTTAAGACGAACAACTTGAGTTCAAAAACACACACTCACGCTTAAAACTCTCTCTTTCTTTACTGCTATTTGTGCTATTGCTTTGGCTAGCCGACTGAAAGCCAAAGCTAGACTGTGGAATCTTGCTTACTTTTCCTTACTGCACTTTGCTTCTCTACTGGTATGTCCCAGTTAATTTTTTCAAGCCTCAACAACAACATGCTCACTTTAGTTGCTTCAGTTTTCTCATTCTTGTGTACTTCTGCTTATGTTTCTGCAGTCTTTTTACATTACTAGCATGCTGAAATATGTTCCCTTCCCCTTTTAGATTAATGTTTCCCTATGTATGCACTCTGTCAGTCGCTTGTTATGTGATTTGCTGACTTATGAATCCCAAACCCCATAGCCCCTCTATGTGTTTTTCCTTTGGTTGGTTTGTGTCCATGCCAGCATCAGCTATTGCTGTGCATGACCAAACCTGCCCCTCTCTGGGGTTATATGCTTCATACAATGTATTCCCAAGACCCCTCGACCCCTTTGTGTAACTACTGATTTCTGTGTATTTTAAGCTTTACTACTACTGTTTTTTTTTCAAATCACCCTTTAATACTTACTATTTCCAACTCAGTTTTAATCAATCCCTGTCCTGCACTTCCACTATATTCTTAAAACCTAGGTTCTGTCCCTCTTGTGTGAGCATTGCCTTGGGACCCTTGAGCTCCCTCTGAACTTGGACACATAAGGGTTGGCCTTTCCGCACTACACTCATTCTTGTCTGGTTATGCAAACCTGGGTGTAAGCACTGCCCGGGGTCCCTTGAGACCCTTAGGGAACTTTGACACACCCAGGTATTGAGTAAGGCTTTGAACACCATGGGCATCTGAAGTGATTAATTATATAACTCGGACAGGAAGTCAAGATCAGGCTTCTTTTGGTTGTAATTTCTCATTTCTGCACTTTTTTTGTAATTTAAGTATTTGGTCTGTAATAATTTGTAACAAACATTGGGGTTTGGCTAGTAAAAAGGGATGGGGCAATTATGCATGTTGTAAGGGTAGATATCCTGCCTATAGGATCTGTTCTGCATGTCTTACTTCCACACTTAGATATCCTGCCTATAGGATCTATTCTGCATGTCTTACTTCCACACTTAGATATCCTGCTTACAGAATCCGTATATTAAATTCCGCATGCTTTACTTCCACACTTAGATATCCTGCTTATAGGATCTGTTTAATAAAGTTCTGCATGTTTTACTTCCACACTTAGATATCCTGCCTATGAGATCTAATGGCTATAATCAGACATCATGCTCACAAAGTTAAGATCAGCTTCTAAAATAGATGTCATTCCTATAAGGTTAATATCAATCTTTTTATAGAGATCATGCCTATTGGAATTCCGCTGGGATCAAATAAATCCTGCCTACTCCATTTCATGTTCAATCAGATACCGGGCCTATAGGACCAAAATTAGCCTTAAATACCTAGATACCATGTTTGTAGGAATAAAAAATCAGTTATAATAGAAATCATGCCTATAGGGTGTAAAACCAGTTTAGCTATAAATCAGTTTGACTCGTACTATTCTGAATTAGTTTAAACAACCTACTCCTTTATCAATGCGGTTTAGAAAGCATGCCTATAGGATCCAAATCGCTCGTTTAGAACTGTTTACTGCTTTACTACATTCCTAACCAGCAATAGATATCATGCTCCTAGGACATCACTATTACGCCTAGGCAAGCCTTAGGCAATAATAATGATAAAGTGGGATCCGCCTTTATCTAATTAGAAACTGCTACAACCAGTAGGCAGCCCTGATTCGGACTTCTTATCTGAGCTATATAATGAATCCGGTTCTAACTCAAATCCCCTATATTAGGATTTTTAAATTTCAGACTTTAACTGTGCTTGAGTTGTCTATTTATATGTATTATTTGTGGAGGATTATATGAGCCTCTAACTGCCTACATGTTTCCTTTTAAATGAAGTCCTACGTGTTTTGTATGTCACCTTAGCCTTTTGCCTTTAAACCTAAGAGTCAACCTAAATCCTCCCTATTTATAGGAATTGTAGTCCTAAATTCCTCCGGGACTGACAGGAATGGGACGGGTAATAGCACGCAGTAGAGTTCGAGACCAATCCGCGCTTTAAATATCTTTACGGGGTGGGAAGGATAGATATGGATATGATGACTGGTGCGCTAATACCACGTGTAGCCCCTCTTTTGAGGAGTGATTACCGGGTATTGCATTGATGTGATCCATATTACAAATAAACCTAGGACCCTTTATATTCACCAGCGTGCTTAGTTATAACTCTTTCAAAACTTTGCTTTACTTTATCATTTCTAAACACTTGTGTATTTAAAATCCCCTCTTATTTGAGCCTTGTTTGTTTACTTGTTAATTGCACAAAGAACTATCTGGCCGGGAACCACACTAGTGGATCCTGAGGGGTGCCTAACACCTTCCCCTTGGGATAATTTCAAGTCCTTACCCTATCTCCGGTTATCAAATGTAGTTGTAGTTGAACCATATAGGTGCCCTAACGCACCTTAAAATCATTAGGTGGCGACTCTTCAAAATTTCAAAACCCCTTTCCCAAAAGGAAAGAGTTGTCCCAACCGAATGTCATAAACCCGATTTCCGCGAAGGAAAAAGGGGGCGCGACACCTCTTTGGCTTGACCCTAATGAAGGCAACGAAATCTCCATGGCTAACTCCAGTATGTTTATTCTTCTTCTTCGTTTCCGATTTTGATTGTTTTCTTCTGCCACTATGTTTCTTCTTCTTCTTCTTCTTCTTCTTCTTCTTCTTCTTCTTCTTCTTCCTTTCCACGGCAAGGAATTTTTTGGGACTTTAACTTCTTCGCAATTTCTTTTTCAGTGGGTGCTAGCAATTTCTTCCGATTCGTTACTAGCGGGTGCTAGCCAAATTCAGTTATGGGACTTTAACTTTTTCAGATGCGTTACGGATGCTAGCAATTTCTTCTTCAGCAATCTTTCTCGTTTTCTTCTTCTTTCTCTCATCGCTGCTTATGGAATCATGGTCGGAATTCGATGGGTCATCGGAAAATCGTCGACTAAAATAGGTCGTATGAAGTTTGGGGTTGAGCAATTTGAAGATTCTATTAACTTTTTTTTTAAGAGCATTTCAATGTATCTCGCTGTATTTCTATGTATTTCATTGCATTCACTATCTTTTTTTTTATTGTAATTCAATGTGTCTCGTTGTATTCCATGTATTCATTGTATTCAATGTCTTTTTTTCTCACTGTATTTTAATATATCCCGCCGTATTCTATGTATTTCATTGTATTCACTGTCTCGCTATATGCCATAAATGTATTCGTATGTTTTTTTAATTAATATAATTTATGTATTCAGATGTATTATATAATTTCTCTGAAGATTGCTATTTTTTGGGGGGTATTTTTTGGTTGAGAATCTTTTTCATAACTGAAAAATACAAAAATTTTGTGTTATAATTGAGTTTGTTGAGTTATATTAGGAGTCTATTATGTTAATTGATTCACTTTCCATTTTAAAAACAGTTTAATCCCCTATTTCACGCCGTGAATACAGTCGAATACAATAATCTGTCCAGTTGTAATCTCATGTTTCACTCCATGAATACAGTCGAATACAACAACTGATTAGCTGGATTTCCCTGATTCACGTCTATTTTTGCTACTGTATTCATGAATACAATAGTTTAAATACATCTTATAACCACAGAAAAGATATCTATAATCCGTAATATAGCAAATTGTATCTATAGATGGCTAATTACTACTAAAAGATAGTGCTTTATGAAAATTTCTCTTAATAATTCGATGAATGTATGATAGGGAACGTGAAATAACGGAACAACTATATATGGGATATAATTACAGTCGGACCTTTCTATAATAGCATCTTTATATAATAGCTATTCACTATAAAAGTCGAGTTATTTTCGGAGCCGAATATTATATTATGTTATGATATTTGTCCTCTATAACAACGCTTCATATAGCAGCTAAAAAATTTCAGAAAAGACAAAATTGTTACAGAGAGATTAACCGTGCCAGGTGCTGAAGCACCCCATTAACCCTGATGCAAACACTGTATAATTATATAGAAAATACAGAAAAAACTGTTATAAAATTTAGCAAGCACCGATTAATAAAAAAGTCTTCTGTGTGCTTTGGTTAAGAGGAGAGAATAGCTGGCTAGGGATCGATTCTGGAGTGAAGCAATTTTTTATATATGGCCAGAAATAAAATACGTTGGATGCTCTTTTTTTTTGGTACGAAAGATAATTATCATTAATTAAACATATGTGTACAGAGACATTGGTGCCCAAGTTGCACCATATTACAAATTAAGCTATTACTAGTAGTAGCGATATTGTTTGTGGTATTCCTAATGAAACTATCATCACAACAACATAAGGAGGTTGATAGTAGCTGATGTACATCCGTGTTTCCTTTTTGTGGTTCCTTGCTGCTCCTCCCAACTGATACATCATGGTGATCTTATAAGGCATATGGTGTCGATGGAAATGAGCGCATAATTGTTTGCCCTTGCTTATCAGCTTCCGAAATTGGTCTAACAAAAAGTGGTGGTGCATCAAAAACTCGCATTGTAAAGTTGCCTTCCAAAATGCTCCTTGCCAGTTGATCTGCAACTCTACTTTGTTCTCTGTACGCATGGTGAACCCTTGGATTACGGAGCTTCAGTAGAAGGTGCCTGCAGTCAAATAGTAGGTTAGCATATATTATATTGTCACAATCTAGCATAGTGATTACCTCCTTTGCGTCGACTTCCACGTGTAGTGGTGATAGATTTTGTTGAATTGCTATTCTAAGCCCCTGTATCAAGGCGTATAATTCTGCTGAAATAGAAGATTGGCATGGTATGTTCCCTGAGAAACCCACGATCCAATCACCATTATGATTTCTAATTAGTCCTCCAATACCATCCGTAGTCAATGTGGATGAGTGAGCCCCACCTGTATTTAACTTATATATGTTAGGCTTAGGGGTATCCATTTAAGAGGGGTCATGATTCGCCTTGGCGTTTTGTGATACGAAGCTGCCAGATAAGAAAATTCAGTGGTCTGTTGTGTTGTAAAGTTGATGCTAACAACCAAAGAATAGGAATTTCGGTCAAAGCGTATTTTTAGAAGAACTCGGGTTACTGATAATCAAATAAAGAAATAATTGTATAACGAGAAAGGAAAATTAAACTGAGAAGTAGCCGAGGAAGCAATGTAAATGAGTATATTCCAATAATAATCAGCGTCTCCATACAAATGTTATTTCTCTCCCTTTTATAGCTATTTTCAAGTACAACATTTCTTTCCTCTCATAATAGAGCCATTATGAGCATTTAATGACATTAATAAAACGTTATAATTGGCAATCGTAACTATTTCGTGAAGATTCTCTAACGTTTCCTATCATTTACGCTCATTAATTGAAGATGTTATGAATATGTACTTTTTGCTGTCTTGATTCATTCCTCCGGTATCTCTTCAAATTATCAAGAGGCCCGAGTGACCGTTCTTTCTTGTCTTCATGACACTTTGCTCGTACCTGTTAAGACTCGCGTCTCTTTAAGTACTCTTTGCCAGCTGTCACTCTTATAATAATCCATGTGTCCTGACATGTCAGCCACATAATTAATTCCAAGTGTAATATCGATTTTTCCCCAATACAGATAGCCCCCCCCCCCCCACTTGCCATTTATTCAGCAATTGAATATTTGGAAAGTGGATCTCATTAAAGCGGGAATTTTTGCCGCCGATTCCACATACCATTATACCTTTTTCTGAACTGATGATTCTTATGTCACTTCTATTTAATGCGTGTGACATGTGGCGCCCTATGATTGGTTCTGTAACTCCTCAGCGCCTTTTAGGACTTTTTTATGGCTGCATCAATCACGAAGTGACAGTTTTCATAATGACGTTTCCATCATTACCTTTTTGTTTGACGGTTGCTTCCAAGTATAAATATATCCTTTTTTCACGAAAAAGTTTCCTACTTTGCCATTCAATCCTTTCTTCATCTTCGTATAGCTATGTCTTCTTCAAACCCTGATCCTTAAAAGGTTCTTATTGTTGATGAACTTCCCCTCGCTCCTACCAGAAGCAGGAGATGCGGTAGGCTGCGTAGTTTAAGATCAGTTTCCGTTCGTGGTTCTCCTTCTCAACCTAGTCCTACCCCTCCATAATCTTCTAGAACTAGGCCTTCTCTTTCTCATAGGTCTTCTACTAAGAGGTACGAATTCCGGTGAGCCAATTCGTGAGCCTACAGTAGATGAGATTATCCTTGCTAAGCTCTCTTTTTATACTGACAGAGAGTCGATTAGAAACCAGGTCTCCTTTATTTCTTCTCATGATTGTGTCGATGTTTACCCTTCACAGATTACTGAAGGTTTGATCTCTGTTGTTCGTAAAGATTGTCATTGGAAGTTTGATTTCCCAATTCTTATCCCTAATGCAAATCAAAGGATCACTTCTTTCAAAGCTGGCTTTTCTTTTGTGTATACGTACCCCTTTACATTAGACTTTAGACCCCCTATTGATCCAGCCATTATTGAATTATGCCGCTTCTTCAATGTGTGTTTAGGACAAATTGGCCCTATTGTTTGGAGGGCTGTTGTATGTTTAAGGTATTTGGCTAATTTGGCTCAATTGCCTTTCACCTTTTTTCATCTAATCAATCTCTACTCTCCTAAATTATTCCGTCATGGGATTTTTACTTTGGTAGCGAGGAGTAAGAGAGTTTTAGTCAGCCCTGAGAATGATAAAGATCGTGGTTGGTACGCCCGATTTGTTGCTGCTCCTACGAAAAGGTTAGTAGGTGAAGAAAATATGCCCTTCCCTGATAAGTGGAACTTTGCACATAAGTTTTCTTTACAACTTTTTTTTAAGAGTTTGTACTTCCCATGACTGTTTTACTTTTCTTTTTCAACAACTATGGAAACTGTTGAAGAGATTCCAAATTTCCGTGGTTGGGTAGAAAAATTATTAACAATCGCTCCAATAGAAGTAAGGTCTTGGAAGTACCTTTCGAACATGTTTCGTTGGAAGGTTAAGACTCACGGTAAAATTTTTATCTTCTCTTTTTTCCTTCATTCATTCTCTCTTTTGAATTTATTAACCCTTCTTTTTATCAGGGTTTCCTATTCGAGGTGTGAGTGCTGAGTCAATCCCAGCTTCTAGACTTTCTTTGGCAAGAGCTCAAGAGATAATCTTGAGTTCTTCATCGAAAAGAAAAGCTGATAGATTACAGGATTCTGAAGATGAAGAGGAGCGGGATGGAAGCTCTTTAGTGCGTAAGCCGCAGGCTAGGAGACGCGTCATTTCGGATGATGAAGCTACTCCTCCTCCTCGTTCTATTTCTGTGACCGAGCCTGCTGAAGCCACTTTATTGAGTTCTGATGAAGAGACGCCTGTGGCACCTCGAGACTCTATTGATTACCTCTTTTCACGTGGGTTTGACAATGAAAGTTTTGACTTGGTTGCTAAGAAAACACCTCTTGCCTCTTTTCCTGTGTCAGTTCCAATGGAATCCCATGTGCCCGTTCTTACCGTTGTTGTTTCTGCTCCGCCCGAAGCTATTATAACTTCTTCGGCCGTTTCTGCTACCAATACTTCTCGTAATGAATTTGGTTCTTCAAGTGGTAGCAGGGGCAATGAAGCAAATTACCATTGAGGTTCTTGCTGATGGTAATCTTTTGAAAAAGTCAGGCCAGGCTGATGTATGGCTAAAACCCTTAATAGGTCCGGTGGAAAAGTCAAAATTGGAAAGTCATAGTTCCTTGACTCGGATGAACGACATTGTACAATCATCATTGAAGGTATAGACTTCTCTTTTTACCTTATGTAATTTTCCTTTTATTAATATTTTTACCCTTTTCTCTTTACATAGATCAATCTCATCGGTATGGAGATGATGAAAAGGGTTTCCCATACGGAGCAGTTGATGCATGACTATCAGATTGAGGCTGATAATTGGAAAGAGCAATATGAAAGTCTCCAGCTTGAGATGGAAGTTTTAGAGGAGAACAAGTGTACCTTGGAGCAACAGATAAAAGTCATGGCAGCGGAGCTAGGAGTCGAGAAAGCCTCTTCCAACCGGGCAGACAAGGACAAGCACCTTCTTGAGTCATCTTTTGCTGAATAACTCTCTAAGGCTATTGAAGAGATCAGAGGTCTAAAAGCCTTGTTGGATGAAAAGAAGTTTATGCAGGTGAGCTTGTTCAAACACTCACCCAGACCCAAGAAGATCTCCGAGTGTCTTCCGATAAGGTTGAGTTTTTGGAGAGTTCACTTGGTCCCTTACAGACTTCTTACGATGCTGCATTAGCTGAGAGAGACGAGCTTAAGAGTGAAATTGATCATTGGGATAGAGACTACGAAGCTCTTGAAGACAAGGCCGCTGTTGAAGTAAGTTGGGCCATCTTGAACACGCGCCATGATACACTTATGGAGGTAAGCCAGGAAGGTTTTAACTTGGACGCTGAGTTAGCAAAGATTAAGGAGACAATTGAAAAAACTCAGCAAAAGCCAAAGTTTTTCTTCACCCATGGCTGAAACTCCCGAAAGTGTTGAAGCTAATCCTGGTGTAGTGGATGTCCAAGCTTCTTTTGATCAAGTTGAACCTTCTGCTACTGATGGCGTTACCTTGAATTCTTCTTCAGAACCTGCTCCACAGTGAAAGTTTGTTTATGAACTTTAACTGTTTTTTTTTGTTTTGTTGGTGGAATATTTGGTGGTTTTACCCCTGATCCCATTTAGGGGTAATGTTTTTTGGTAACATCATACCTCCAGTCCTTTTTTGGGGGTTTTTATAATGACAATTAAGTTAAGACTAAGTTCATACTTAGTTTTAACTATGTTTATTTAAGATATCAAAAAGTTTGTGCTCAACTTTCATGATGCCCTTGATTTGAGTTTCTGTTTTACTCTTTTAGTGGTTTGCCCTTGCTTTTTCCTTTAAGTTTAAGGCTTTAATTTCCACTTTAATTTTAACATGTGGGTTTTTGTTTTACCCTTTTAACTTTTGCATTTAAAAATGCTTAGTTAATTTCATGGCTTTTTTGAATCAAGCATGAATTATAATGGTGTAAACATACGAAAGAAGAAATCGGAACACACATGTTTCTTGGAATAACTTTGAGAAAAGTTTTATCTCATTCGAACTTGTCAAATTAAATAATACCTTACATGTATTTAAGCACCATCTATAATTCTTCCGTAACTGTTTTCTTTACAACAGATTTGTAAAAAAGAAAATCCAAGGGTTTCTTTGTGATCCATGACTAAATACTGCCTTTAACCTAAACATTCGTAAGATTCTGAAATTTACATCCACAAGTGTATTCTTCACAGGTTTTTGAAATCAGGTTTGCGTTTTTGGCTCGTGACTTTGCTCTGAACTTGATATTTGTTGAGTAGACTTTACGCTTGACTTGAAATTTAATTGTTCCAGTCTTCTTTGCTTTCCTTATACATATATTATATGTATATTATATAGTCCCCCAAGTATTTAAGCTTTGAAGTATGAAATCTCGAGCACTTGATTATTCCTTCCATGCGGTCCTTTTCTTGAAAAGGAAAAACATACGGGACTCGGAGGTATAATTTAGATGAAGACTGCTTAACCCATTACATTTCCATCAGAATAGTTGTAACCCTAGACCGGGAATTATGTTTCTTCCGCGTGTCTTTCAGGTCTAATTTCATCATTTGGTGTGGGCTAGCTTTTTGCCTATCATCTAAAATTGTTAGTATAACTTTAACAATTCAAAAATAAAAATCGTAAGTGGGGATACCTGACCGTTAGTATTTCCTTCCCTTAGAAATAGTACTTCTTCAGATGAACAACATTCCAACTTGAGGGTAGAATCTTGCCATCCATGGTTTCAAGCTCATATGCACCTTTTCCTGCGATACCACGAATCTTGTAAGGCCCTTCCCAATTTGGACTTAACTTTCCTGCATTGGCTGCTCTTGTGGATTGGAAAACTTTCTTGAGTA